TTCATTGTACAATCCAGTATTTTATAAGAACAATAAAGCTGAACCTCGAACCTCGGAGTGACTTGGGAACTGAAGTACTGAAGGTACAGACTTATAATTATAGGGCATAGAATGATTATAGTGACATTATTCAGAACCATTACACAGCACAAAGGAATAGGAAGATGGAGGCATGAAACGGTTAAATACACATGATTAAGACCCCTTTAAAGTGTGCTGTGATCAAAGACCAGCAGGGTATACATAAATGTGGCCACACGCTGTGTCATACTGCATGCATTACCACTTTAGAAACACCTAAAGTGGCTGGGCAACACAACATGGGAGTGACATGACTTCCTTTCTAAAGTAGTATAGAATACTTTCTTGCACAACTCCAAAGTATCACATATCTTGACATGTATTGTACATGCACATTTGAGCTTTGATGAACTGAATATAATGTAAGTTATATTTTGTTAATCTATGCTATCAAGTAATTTTAGATGCATGAAAATGTCACAGCCTGGGAAGTCTCACCTGAGATAGGTCTCACTCGGACCTTGTAGCCCTGAATGGGTCCATCAGCCTCCTTCCATTTCATCTGCAGTCTGTCCTCAGACAGGACAGTCAGCTTTAGACGACCTTAACATTCACAGAGACAAAGGGAAGAAAGCAAGAACATTCAAGGTTTTAAAATGTATGTTTGCATGTATTTGGGTCGAGAGAGAGGAGAGCATGACAGTTGCAGGCTTTCCAAAGATCAAAGAAACATGCTGTGAAACTTTATTCATTCCTCCTGTTCTCGAAGACGGCCTAACCCATCTCACTTCCTTCTCCAAAACTCAAATCCATTTCTAGTTTCGACTTCATCTACATAATTTCCAGCAGGGGTTTCCCAACAAGCAGTGTCTTTCATGTTCCTATCCTCCCGCCCTCCATCCATCCCTCTCTCCAGCTGCCCCTTCATCCATCAAAGCGTGCCCTGTCCTCTTGTCTGGTATAGAAACAGGAACAGGACGCTGGTTTGGGACTGGAGAGTCAAAGGTCATGTCAGAGGAACGTCACAGAGTTACAGTGTGTCAGGGTTTTGTATGTAGTACGTGGCAGGGTAATAGATGGAGAGGAAGATGAGGGGGGGGGG